TTCTGGTCTACTGTTGCATAAATTAAAACTGTCTACTTACAGAATTGTATCTAAAAACAAATAGTAAATTTTGTAAATTATATTCATATATTTTTAAAATAATTTACAATGTATGGTTTGTACACATTGAATATAACTATTCTTTAAGCTATAACATATTAGAAATTCAAATATGACATATATGTTAAATGTATCAAAATTTAAATGTGTTACATAATAGACATACGAATACATGTTCTAAATATATTAAGACAAAAATACAAAGACTTTCTTAAAATAAAATGTTCTATATATGACATTTCTACTGATATTGTTGCAACATCATAATCGTTACATTCATTGTATAATAAATTAATTTAAAAAAAAAAAATAACTTTGCATATCACTAATCACGTTATCATAACATATTTCATCATTATTTTGTGCAGACTTTTCTATAAAAGATTGGGTGTTCATACACGAATTGATTTTTAATGTATAATATTAGAGTAAGTCCTGAAATCATGAAAATAAAATATGTATATAAACAAAGTTTATAATAGATATATACTTATAAGATATATATTTATAAGATATATTCAAGTAAAAGTCTGTAATAATTTTTATAAAACATAAAATTAACCTTCTTGGAGTAACAATTTTCTCTAAAAAAATTTAAATTGTCAAATAGAATCCATTTTTGTTTTGTAAATTTTCCTGTCCCATTTCTTGTTTTATTCTCTCGTAGTTGCCTCTCTTTACGAAGACATATTCAATGTGCTTGACAATCTGAGACTATATAATACATAAAATATTGTCATCATCATCATTCATAAATTGTAATATTAGATATTTATACATAACATTATACATAACATTAGACATTTCAGAAAAAAATAATTTTAATAAAAAGAGTATAAATAAATATCTGATCTGAATGTTAATTTGCTTTTGATACTAATACATAGCTAGCAAAAGACATTAATTGGTTTAAGTAAATATGTAATTGATTTAAGTAAATATGTAATTAGAACTATTTAAATAATTTATTTATATTAAACAGTAAGTTAATAAAGTATATTAAAAAGTAATATTTAATATATGTACTTAGTTATTGGAAAAAATTATTTAAAAACATATTCAGTTAAATTGTGCATATCTAAAATTCCTAAAATAGATATTATCATGAAAGAAAATGCATCTCTCATGCATTTTCTTTCATGATAATATCTCAAAATTCTTTAATCTTTTTATCATAAAGAAATGGCTTAGATTGAATCAAATCTATTAAAAGCTCATCTCCATATTTTTGATCTTGCGTTTGATCAAGTGTTCTGTATCAAAATCATCATTTTTGAAAATGCTATCCTGCAATGAATCGTGAAATTTTCTTTTCTAGCAATAATCATGTCTTTTAAACTGAAATTTGCCAAAACTAAATTCATGAGTGAAAATATAATCTTAAAAAACAATTAGTCAAAAAGGAAACAGGCAATAAAATTCCAACACGTCGGAAAATTGTTTCCATTCCCTGTGCCACATTTTTTGTCTCATGAACTTCATGCATCTTTAGTGGTATGTTTGTATTAGGTTTGTAGTATAGGTTGTGAATCAAACTTATATTCCGGAGTTTTCATTGGACGATGCGTAATTCCCTGTTCCTTGCTTATTGCATGTGCCTATTATATTTAAAGGTGCGTTCCATTTCTTGCATGAAGCGCATGAGTATTTAATGCATGGCATGGAGTGCAGGGTACGTTCCGTTTCTCTAATATACTCCATGCGGTTTTAGTAACGGAACGGATTCGCAGTGAATTCATGCAGTAAACATGGACAATTTAAAATTGACTGAATTACAAATGCATTCAATAATTACTGTCTTTTTTGATAAAAAAAAGATTTATATTTTTCGAGCAGCACTTATAATCTTATTTTGCAGAAAACAAAAAATAAAACGTATTACCAAAATGTCCAAAAAGGATGTTTAATACCTATTTCTAAAATATTAGAAATTTAACAAAAATTTTACAGAGTATTCTTACATATTAGGTGCGGGAAAAAGTTCGTGGCGTTTTTCCCATTAGATGGCATTTAAAAAACGCCACAAACTTTTTCCCACACCTAATATGTTCAGACACTTATAACAAAATCCAAAATTGATTCACTGTGAAGCAACTTAAAGTATATTATTATATAAGAGTTTAAAATATAAGGATTTTAAGATCAGATTTGAGATACTGTCAAAAATTTTTCATTTTTTTCAGAAATAATTAGCAATAGAAATTCAAAAGTACATTTCTGCATTTTAGTTATGAGTAAATAATAACATTCTATATACAATCTTTATTATTCAAACCATATGAAAACATATATTCATCAAAATCAAATTTCAGGAACTTTTTGTTACAATACGTACAAAATATCCTTAAAGTCCGTTATTTTTATTTTCTTCTATCTATTTTATAAGGATATGACTAATGTAAACTAACCTCTATCATACTATTTTATATTAAGGAATTTAAACGATATGAAAAATAGCAGTAATATATTAATATATTAATTTTTCAGTATTATATAAATCAGGGATTAAAAGCCGATATTCTATAGCGATATATGCAAAACCGAGATCTAAATATCAGTATTGAATGTTAAATACCGGTATTCAATCAAAATTTTCATAATATCAGTATATGCATAATTTTTCGGAATACCAGAATATTATACGTATATATATTATATAATATATGTATATATGAAATAAATTAAATTAAAAAATTTTTTGGTTATTCTGAGCATCCTACTTACGTGTCTTTAACCCTTACGATTTTAAGTACACTCGCCCCAGCAGAATCACCCATGATTTCAGTTTCGCGCTAAAATATGTTGAATGCATAAGCTACATGAACTGCCTCAGCTCGAGAGATGAGGCACTTCATACGGTCTCATGCACCGGAAGAGGCGGGGTCATGCAATTAGTGGTAGATTGAATCATGCATGCAGCGAGTGTGCATGAAGAGAAACGGAACGAACTTCTATGCTTCTATGTGCATCATGCAAGAAACGGAACGCACTCTAAGTCTTAAGAGAGGAGTTTTGCGATTCGAACGCCGCCTACCGAGCATCACCAATGCCAATTCAAAAACCTAATTTTGATCACACTTTTAAAGCCTAATTCGGCCTCTTATTCTCTATACTCCATGGTTGATAATCAAACTGACGATAACACTCTGAAATCACAATTTAAAAAAAAAGTCGAGTATTATTGTGTTCTAAATGCATAAATACATCTATTAAACTAATAAATTATAAAATTAGTACAATATTATCAGTTTTTAACTCTCTTAATCACTTCAACATTCACAAAGACGTGAACTCCCGTAAGGATGTCTTTAATAACATCTCGTCAGTGGCCAAACTTTCCTTTAAGAGTCTCTAGATATATCTAGAACTTTACTTGGCACTTGATTGGTGAGATTGGTTACCGTATGCATTCGCTGCAGCTCATGTAATATGAACGGTGACAGATATGCCTTAACACCTAAAATTGTAGGAGTATTAGGCCATATTCAAAGCACGTTCTCCATCTATAGATATTCATAAATCATCTAATTATGTTCCAATACTTGTACAATTTCAGGTATTAAGGTACATTGTTACTATCTGTATAATTCATTACCATCTGTACATTCAGCTTAACACAACATAAGATATCCAGTATCCAATAGAATTTAACTAGCATATAAGTTTATTAAAAAATTATTATTTTCCTTATGATTATTTTCAATCGTAATGAATTATTTCTCTTCAACCAAAAAATGCTAATTATCAGGAAATAATATAAAACTATTTTATCTGATAGATTTTTATTACAAGATTTCAACAAGGGGAGAAAGAATACAAAAACATACATACACTGACGAGATACTACTAAAAACAGCCGAAAATAAAATACTTAATAATACCCGATTTTTAATTAAAACTGTATTTTTAATATATTATTTGAGTTTGATTAGCAATAGATAACTGTGGAGAAAAATTGTAATTTTTCGACACATGCAAGATATTATAGTATTAAAAGTATGCGTACCTATTTATACAACATTGACATAATAAAAAATCATAAATTCAATATTATCCAAATAATTTATGTTAATAATTGCAAATTTTTATAAATTGTCATAAAAATTTGATCAGGGCCAATCTTTAAAAGTATCCTATCAGTGATATATCTTTTAAGAGATATCATCTTTTTCTTCTCACACATGAATATAACTATATATATATATATATAAATGTATAAAAATAATAAAATCCTATAAGTATAATTTATTATATTACATTAAAGTAGTTATCGTCCGTCATAATATATTATCGCATCGTAATTACTACTTCAATGAGATAACTTTCTCAATATGATTCTTAAGAGTCTCTAATTGATGCATTGTCTCAGGATCTAGTGGAGGAATATTTGACATGCGCAATCCTTCTTGTGGTAATAAGGACATTACATTACCATTACTCAAAGGTACATTAATATTAGCAGTTTTTTCCTCGACGACAGCAGAGACCAAGAGTGGACTGCCTTGCATACTAAGAACCATTTCTCCTTGACGCGGACGCCTTAATACGTTCAATGGTGTGTTAGGCTTGACTTTTGGTGTAACGACATTATATACATTGTTTACAGGCTTCAGCATTGCTGGTGTCTGAAAATTACTGCTTAGTAAAGACTTTCAGATAGTCCTTGCATTGAACTTACCATTGTCTGATTAATTTCACTGAGTTTGGCTCTGCTTGCTCTAGTTGAACGTGTTCTCTTGGCTGGTGTTGCTTTAGTCAGTGCTTTAGCGACTCGCGATGTACTGCCTACGCTAGTACCTCCAGTCGCATATCCATCGTCAGATGCAGCGGTACGTTTAGTAGCTTTCCCTTTTCTCACTTTAGGAATGGCGGGTGGTTGCATATGAAGATCTTTGACTGATGAACTTACCTCATCGTTAAAGTTTTCTTTCTCATTGTCATGGTCATGCCTATCTATTAACTCGCCCAATTTCATTTGACGAATGTCTTTTGGTAAGCGGGAAATTATAACATCGATACAAGTCACGTAGGTCTTTAAATCTGCCATTGCATCGCGTTCCATCTTGGCGATAGAGAGCTGTGTGCGTTTCTCAAAGGTCTTTACCGCCGCATCGCGTTCCTTCATCGAGTTACTCGTCGCTTTGTTGCGCTTGGTTCTTGGCATTTTGATGCACGTTACGTCAATGTACGTCAATAAATCTCTCGTACGTGTGATGCGTTGAAAAATTATTCTCCTTCTTTCTCTTCTTCTTTAGTGGCTAATCTTTAACAAATATAACCCGGCTAAGATAAGCGACCGTTACCAGCTCAATTCAATTTATTTACCGATAATGACCGCGACAAGCACCGACTAGGCGCGCCGCGCGCGGATCGTGAACAAGACCATTCTCCCTCCCTCTTAAAAAGATGCAGACAATTTTCAGCGCCACCATTAGTCACTCGCCCAATTGCGGATTCTGTAAACGTTTTATCGACAATTGTCACTAATTTGTTGTTAACTAATGACAGCCAATGACAGTCGCGCTTTCTTCCAAGATTGTCCTGTCATTGGCTGTCGCTAGTTTCCGATAATGACAATCATCGAGAAGACGTTTAGGCCAGAATCAGACTATGCATTGAAGATTAAGATTAAAAATTAAAGATTAAAATTTCATCAATGAGGACAAAGAAATTTTGGCTGCTTTTGTTCTGATTGGTCAATCTTCAATCTCATTCTTCAATACGTAGTCTGATTCCGGCCTTAGAGAATCCCGCTATAAAAGTGGCGAATTAAAATGAAACTTTCGGTAAACCAAGATACAAACTTCAAATGTTTCTCGAGGTGATAGAAGTGATAGTTGCCTATTTATTAGAGAGATCAAGTTCAATTACCCGCAATGAGCACTAATTCTTCTCAAAATCACATTTCGGATTACAAACGAAACGAACAACAGGAAATGCTGGTCGCCCCACCGTTAGATTTATCGTTTAAAAAAGCTATCACCATGGACGGTACATAAATTAAAGGAATGTCATTTTTTAATTTATTATTTTGCGAGTTGATGGCGTACATTGACAATTTTTTATCGCAAACTCTTATGAGCATTAATAACTCATTCACAGAAAAATGTATCTCTTGGTTTTTCTTTTAATAGATTTGATGGAGAAACGTGCACAAGTAATACGTACCGGAAAAGCTCCGATAAGAACATTTAAGGATCGTTACATAACCAGTACGTTATGGCTGAGCAATAATCTACTGAGCTCAATGGAAGGTCTTCAACGTCTCGCGGATAGAGTTCTTGATAATCCTGTGTATCTCAGTTGGTTGGATTTATCTTTCAATGAAATAAACGAGATTGGAGAAGAAATAGAGAAATTTACAAATTTGAAGATTCTCTACTTGCACGGCAATAAAATCGCAAATATTACAGATATTTTAAAGCTCAGGAAGTTACAAAATCTTAGGTCATTAACGTTACATGGTAATCCGATAGAAGACATTCCTTGCTACAGGGGTTATATCGTACATCTGCTCCCACAGTTACTCGTCTTAGATTTCTCGCCAGTGATTGCTGCTGAAAAAAAAAAGGCGCTGCCCATAAGATTTTTTAAAATGATACAACAACCTGGGATACGAATATAAAATTTATTTTTATACCATTGAATGCTCTTTTTTTGATATACACTTTCCCCTAATATTTCTATAACTTTTTTGTAACATTGTATACCATGTTACTTATTACTGGAGATATGGCAACTTTACATGAAACATAATTATATGAAATTAATATTCTTCTAAGAACGATATCTAATTGTTGAAATTTAATCTTATAGTAAATAATGATAAGCGATCAAGAAAGATGCTTGTAATTTTTGTGGAATCATAAACATTGATATTCTTTGTGCCTATCAAACGTATTTGTTTATAGATCTCTGTCAGATATTATAAAAATTTATAAAAGAAGTACATGTTAATATATAGAATATTAAATATATTTTGTTTTTTCCAGATAAATTTCTACGAACTCATGCAAAATATAAAAAATGCTTTACATATTTTAGTATTTAAAAAAAATTACAACCTTTATCGACCTCATTTAATAATTTTTAATATAAATTATATTCCTATATATAAATAATGAAAATGTTAAATTAGCTTGTGAAAAAGCAATGTATGTATACATTACTGGTAGCAACTATGCGAAATTCAATCATTTCGATAATCTCGAAAAACCAAGTATTAATTTTTTGAAATATATTAAAAGAATTACAGTAGGTCTGATAAAGTTCTGCCGTATATTATAAATTTATTACAATAGTGATATTTAAATTATGGCTTTACATCGTGCACTTGATACAGATACTGACTAGTAACTTTCTATCAAATTATTTTAATTTCAACGATGTATTCAATGATGCACTAAATTGATACAATATGTATCAAAATGATTAATTAAATACACATATCATGTTTGACACATATATGTTTATATGTATCGCCGAAATTAAGACAATTCAATATAAAGTTACTAGTTACCCGTATTAAATGCATGATGTAAACTAAGCCTGATATCTCACAACATAATGTAAAAGTGCTGCCTACACATTAATATTTAGTGTAATCGTCTACTACGTTTACTACGATGTTTGCTTGATTTTTCCAAATCCCTATCCCGAGATCGACTTCGTGATCTATAACTACGCGATCTTCGTGATGACTTGTGGCTACCTGATCGTCTTCGTTGAGTCTTTTTGGGTTTGCCAGATCTACTATGACTGTGACTTCGGGATCTACTTCTGCTATGCCTTTTTCGCTTATTTGAATACTTCGTTTCTTCGCCTCGTGATGGGGAAGTACTTGGAGATTTTGAGCGTCTGAAATACATAAAAAAATATTTAAAAATGTATCAATGACAAGATTTTTTTTCAATTATAAACATTCCATGTTGTAAAATTCATATAAAATTTTATGAACAATAATATATTACTCGCATTGTTGATTTTTACAAATCAAATTAGAAAAAGATAGCATGAAACTCTTATTGTAACAATGTATGTCACTGTATAATTACATGAAGAAAGTACACTATTATGAAGTATATCAATCTCGACATAATTATCCTGCACCATGTATGGTATATACACCTTTAAAAATAATTTATAGTGCATTTTTTATGCATTTATCTTAATAATTTAAAAGTTTTATCTTAATAATTTAAAAGTTTTCAATTTAGGTTCTAATGAATGAATTAATAAAATGTCTTTAATTGAGCCAACATAAGAAGTCAACATGTAAAAATTATTACAATCTATACAATTGACATTAAAAAATTACACAATGTTTCGATCTTAGATTTGAATACTTTTCAGTACGATGATAATTTAATTATTTGTAACTACTTTCATCTCATCAATAATCTTACAAAGTTATCATTTAACGTTAATGTCCTTATTAGGTGCATTCCGATATTTACTGCCAGTGCTGAAACTATACAGTATATGTTACGTACGCTGTATATTTTCAGCACTGACAGTGAATATTGGAACGTATCCATTATTTAGGCGAAATGTTAAATTGTGATGCTGTCACAAATGTCATCTCATATGTCCGTTTCGATGCATTACATTGCCAAATTTAATGAATATGATATGTGATGTATGAGATATGAATCATTTCGCTTATTATGGATTGAATATATTTATTTGTTGTTTTTACTCGAGTGAAAACATTATCATACACACCTGGGTGATTTCGTTCTTTCGGGGGCTGCATGTGTGCCGCTGCGACTGATAAATCCACCCCAAGCGTTGTGATGTTTTGGCAATGGTGGACTCGGTGTATGTCCATCAACGTCTCCACCGCGCGCCTTGGTTCTGGCCTCTTCATACTGACGTCGCAATTCCTCGACTCGTTTTTCCAATTGTTCGGGTCGTACACGCGGTCGTGAGTAAAGACGCAGTATACGTCGACATACGTCTCTGATTGCATATTCGCTGACTCTAAACACCGAAAACCAAGCGGGTGTCGTTGGTAGAGGCAGCTGCAATTGACGAGCGGCTAAATAAATACACGCACAAGCCACTGTTTCTGGCTGATAACGCAAAAACACGTCAGAACGCAATGAGTCATTCATATAATTCCAGCTTTGCTGCATTAGCGTGCGATTCTTCTCATATCCCAACACTTGCAAATACATGACTATAATTTTGTGAGGATGTTTTACATGAACGCAGAAACCTAGTTCTTTCAACACTCTTCTTTCTGACTTGATCACTTGATTCTTTAAAGCCACATAATTCTGATCGAGAATTACAGGTTGTATTGCTCTGAAATAAATAACAAAAATGAATTCTTTTAATTCTTTCTGTTTCTCAATTTTATGATCTTAATTTTATAATTAAGATCATAAAATGGTTTTATAAAACCAAAATAATGAAGCAACTTACTTTTGACTGGATACTTGTTTTATGTGATTAAAAACGTTAATGACATCCCTGATACGCCTAGGTGCCTCCTCAATTTTGCTGGCTAAGCAGATGCAACCCATTGCAGTTGTTTCCATATTGTGTCTAACTAAAGATTTGCTATAATAAAATCGTTGGAATATTACTTGTCCTGTAGCCATTGCAACCTACGCAAATAAATGTAAAGACCAAAAGGACGATTAAACCATGACATTCTGTAACAAAATTTATAATATATCAACAATATTTAACCCTTTAGGGACACAAGCAGAGATATTATTCCATTGCCACACTTTGATTTTGCTGTACGACTCATGTCAACATATATCCAGCGTACACGTCATCATTCTCATCTACATTAGCCACTCTGGAAATCCAGACTCTGGAAATACATACATCTTAAGCTATTTTTGTCAGTTTTGTACTAATTGTAAGTGAACATATAGTTCTGTCCGCAAAGGGTTAAAGTAATAGCAATAGCAAAGTTTTTCATATAAAAAAAGTAGATTATATATATATATACACACACACATATATATATATATATATATATATGTGTGTGTATGTGTGTATGTATATATGTGTGTACGTGTGTGTGTATGTGTGTGTATGTGTGTGTGTGTATGTGTGTGTATGTATACTAAAAACGATATATTTATAAATAAAATTATCTTAAATGTTTTATTAAACAAAATAATATTCAGTGTAAATATTGAATTTATAGGATTTAGCAAAATCTATGATTCAAATACTTTTTTAATACAATGTACATATATTGTTTCAATAATATTAATTTGTGTGTGTATGTGTATGTGTGTGTATATGTGTGTATATGTGTGTGTATGTGTAAAGCTTTACTTGTAAAAAATTAAACATATATATAAATTAATTAAACAAGTGTATAATTAAATTACAATTTAAATTGAAAAAATTTAGTAATGGTAATCGTATGTACATGTTAAATTTATATTTAAAAAATTAAATATACAAAATTGAAATAACAATTAATTAATGCAAAGACACTTGTTTAAGGAAATAGATCACATTTTGAGACAAGATTTTCTAAAACATTGAGGTTAGGAAAATTCGAAATAGATTCCGATTATTGGCATGAAAACCCACCTGCGGTAATTTTAAGAGGATACCAGCTGTCTGTATAAGTTCGCATCCCAGTATCCGCAAGTCCGTTTCGGTTTCTGCATCAAGACCATCCAAATGCGACGGAGTGGAGTTGAACTTTTCCTCAGGCAGGAGACAATTTTGCAACGTCAACACGATCTTGCCGTAGAGTTTCGTGTTCGATGCGTTTGTACCTTTCGCCATCGAGTTTGTACCTTTCGCCATGGAGTTTTCTTTCGCGTTCATCTCGAAATTGCTCGTTAATTCAAAGAAAATCTTGACAAACTACAAAAATTGCAGTAGCACGATCAAACAAGATTCTCGACGCGATGTAACACGTTACATCGTAACCTACCTGTATAACAATGCCATTGTTGCGCTTGCGCGCCGACCCCAGGCAGTGAACTAATTTCTACCGAGGATTTAAATCGAATCAGAATGTAAAAACCAACTACTGTCGAATAGTACTATTCTCCTGTTAGGGTGCCGTCTCATGTACATGGAATCGGAACGACGGAACAGATTTCTTAGAAATCAGTTTACTAGCCATTCCGTTCCGTAAGAAGTTTCTCTACTGTATCGGAACCACAGCCGGAATCACAGCCGGAATCACAGCCAGAAAGGTATTGAGACGATTCGAAATCAACGAAATGTCATGTCGATTACAGACTATGGGTGCGGTTGAGTTGCCGCTACGAATGCTTTGAAGCATTTTTTGATTGGTCAATTAGTAAAATTCTTTCTTCCGATTGGTTAATCCGCATTTTATGTTGGTTGAGAATTTGACAACTTCGAAGAAGAAAATAAATAATAATTCTTATTTTTCAATACAACATATTTTTGTTTTATATATACATAGTCCAACTATAATGCCAGTAATTCTTTAAATAATTCCGATATTATTCTGAAAAATAATTGAAGAACTTCTCACGATCGATCGTTTGCATTTCAAGGACTAAATTGTCACTTACACCTTGGTGCCACCTCATTCTTTGTAAACATTGTATCCAGAATTTTCGTTTTCTTGTATATTTCTGCTGTTGCATTAAAACATTATAA